CCATATCCCAGGACATTCCTTCAGGAATCCAAATCTACTGCTTGAATCACATATAATACAATCATAAGCAGTAGATTACAGCAATGGGAAAGGGAATTAAATAAAATGCACAAATTATGAAGTTCCTAAAATAGAGCAGGCAACCTTATTTGCTTCATCAGCCTGCAATTGACTCTGGAACATAATAAGCAATCAATAAATACATGTTGGTCTTGTTGCTGAATCAAATGAGGTGATTTTTTAATGAAAAAGATGCATTCTGGGGCTGGAGCTGAGCAGCAGCGCACTTGCCTGGCATGTGTGAGGTACTGGATTCGGTTCTCAACACTGCAGGTAATAAATAAAATAAAGGTCTGTCAACACCTAAAAAATATATATATTTTAAAAAATATATATTTTTTTTTAAAGAGGGATTCTGCTTTAGAAGAAGAATAACATCTTCTTTAAAGAATAATACACTGACTCTTTAAAAAAATAAATAAATAAAGGAAAGCACTTATAATCTTTAAAAAGAGAACTGTCAAAACCAACCCAATTTAGTTCAAAGGCTTCAGGTTTTCCACCCATGAAATTTACACAGCAAGATACATTCCTGTACACTTTCAAAACAAATACTTGATTTGATCAGCAGGTAAAAAAAGTAAATAGAAGCCACACAAAGTCTAGGCTGGAGTTAAGTGAAAAAATATAAAATTAGAATTTATATGTAAGGAAAATAAGATTTAAAAGTACACTAAAAACTGAGAATTTTAAAAAGTATATATACATTAGGAGGTTGTTTATATATACTTTCATAAACGTATTTACATATTCTTACTACCAACAGAAAATAAATACTAAGGAGGTAATCAGCTTTGATAAATTCTCTTTTTAGGAAACAAGAGAAATAACTAAAATAGCATATATGTATTATGCTCTAAGGGTACATGACATACATTATACAAAGCACTTTAAACCATTTGCCCACATAATCTTTCAACAACTCTATGCTATAAGTATTATAATCATTACCATCATTTTACAGTCAGGGAAATCAAAGACCACAAGACTTTGCTCAATATTATACAGTCAATAAATTAGCAAAATTGAGATTTAAGCTTAGTCAATCTGATTTCAGAATCCATAATCTTAATCACTATCTGGGATTCTCAACAAATGAAGGGGAAATATGCCATATTTCATATATTTTCAATTTAACTAGATACCTATTAAAATCAAAGCTGGATTAACTAACATGCTGAGGAAGTGGGGCATATTCCAGTAAAAATTTCCAGAGTAAAACTAAATATTTTCTTAATTTTAATCTTTGCTAGAAATTATCTTTAGCTGTAACAATATACTGTTTTTGTATGAGTGAAATATGCTGAACATCTTTCATCTTTATCAGTACAAAGATACAGGAAATCATAAAATTGAACTGAAAATATACTACTGATCCAAATCATATCAAACTCATCTGTTATGTTACATTCATTTTTATACCCTCGCAGATTTCTTCGTCTACTTAGACTGCCCTCTTTGAGCCTTACTGAATAACTCATTTATCCTTTAAACTCTGAATCTTTCCATTTGTAGGAAGCTATTTTAACCTTTCCTTTCTCCCCTCAGATTTAATAACTTTCTCTTCTTTCCACTGTGAACAAATGATTACACTGTATTGTAATGTTAGTTAAAATGTTCCTCTTTCTAGACTGGGAACTCTTGAGAGACCAAAAAAAAAAAAATTTTTTTTTTTTAAACATCTTTTCTCTACCACTAAGCAGAAATGGGCATCAAGGAAGCACTGGAAAAACTTTAAGTTGACTGAATAAATGAACACATAAATAAGTGCACAAGTAGAAGGAATTTCTTGTTTTTGTTTGGATTTTGCCATAACTAGAGACTCTTAATAACTCATCAGTTCTGGACAATACACTTGTTAGTGTAATTTTCTTTTCTTTTTCCAAGTAACAATGTTTTAAAAATGCATTACATCACATTAAGTGGTCTACATTATTTCAATTTATTTTTAACTAATATCAAAACTGAAGAAGAAATGTTTGATAAAGTAAAAAAAAAAAAATCCTGTCTTCATTCTACAGTTATCTAACGTTCTTCCCTTAAAATCAATCACATACATACACACAAATAAAATTAACTTAAATCTCTAAATCGAGGCTTAAAAAGTGATTGCCCTTTAACATCCTACCCTTTGTTATCATTAAGTTAGATAAAATGTCTACTTGTTTGAGATTTGTATTACCTCCAATCTTCTTTGAAGATCTTTATGCTCTTACAATGTTCAATTAGTAATCATTATACATGATTGATTCACTTCCCCTCCCCTACTTTCTCAGACGTCAGTTACGCGTTTCTCCTACAAAAACAGCCTGAAATTCTCTCCATTCTGCTCAAATATTACCACAGAATCTTTCACCTTAAACTCATACCAACACTGTACTGCTTAACAAAACTTTTTTAAAAAGTGTGGTGGCAGGGGGATTCAAACAAGACCTGAAATATAACTTAGTTTTATTTCATTACAGTTTAAATTATAGAAATTACTATGCATAATTTGTGACTGCGGTTTATGCTTTTTCAATTGTGAGGTTTTTCATCAGATGCTCAGAAGTACATGTGACCCCCCCCGCAAAATTAAGAACCACTAATCTAGTATATCAATGCATTTCAAAGGAACACAATTCATTTGACATAGTTCAAGCATTCTTCCCTCTTATTCACAGAGGGGATCCTTACTATGAAATTAGTCTTTCGAAGAATTCTTTCAACCCAGCCAAGAAGTTCCAATATCCAGAAGTACATATATCAACAAATTCCAACTCCCAAAAACAGTTTACTCATAAATGCCAAAAGAAAATGCCAAAGGCACACTCTACTACAAACTGGATGCCCTGGATTTTACATACTCCATACTCTTCCATATTAAATTGTCTAGAAGACCTAAATTACCTCCAAACTAAATAGTTTTTTGTTTGTTTGTTGAGGTACTGGGACATGTTCGGTAAATGCTCTATATTGAGCTACATTCCAGTCCTTTTTATTTTTTGAGATAGGGTTTTGTTAAATTGCCTAGGTTGGACTCTTAACTTGCAATCCTTCTGCCTCAGTCTCCCGGGTAGCTGGGGTTACGGGTTTGCAATATAGCTCTGAATAGACTTTTAAAAATTTTCTGCTTTCAATTCCACACTGACTTGTCTGCTCATTCAACTCAGTGTATATGACTGTCAAGACAACTACCCTCATATGCATACAAGCTATTTCAACAATGGCATCTTCATTATTCTCACTGAAAGGCAGAAACCATTTATTGAATAAACTCAATAAATATTTGTTGAATGAATGAAAGAGGATAAACTGTCTGGTTGAGGGTAAAGCTCAGTGGCAGAGCACTTGCTGCAAGGTTTAATCCCCAGTACCAAAAAACAAAGTTAAATTGTCAGCACCCCTGAAGCTGTTCTGGTACATGTTAGGCTGTGAAAGCCATCCTTCCCTCAAACATACACTCTGAAGTATCAGAAATGCTCTGCTTTCTCCATAAACACAAAACAATATAGTCATGGATACCCATTTTATACAGGTCAGGCTGGCAAGGAAAACATATATTTCATATATGTGGTTTGACACTATTGGCCTATCCAACCAGTCACAGATTCCCCTATTTTCCCAATATACTCATATTTGCCAAGAAAGATCTCTAGATGAATTATAATATAGTGAATATATTATTGGATTAGTAGTCAAAAATCTGAGTTATAGTCCCAACTTTGTCACCAATTTATCAAGTGACCTTGGAAAGCTTACCTTTATGCCTCAATTTCCTTTTTTGTAAAATGGGAGAAAATATTTATTCCACCATTTTTACAGAAATTTAGAATGACAAATAAAATGAAAAATCATTCTAAATGTAAACTCCTTATACTAATATAAAGTGCTACTATAAACCCACATCAACAAAAAAGGTCACCCATCCTTACAGTCTTAGACTAATAATTCTGTTAAAGATGTTTACATTTACACAATTCATTCAAAGGCACAAACTAACCTGGCGAATTGTTGCAGGCCTGTAATCCCAGCGACTCAGGGGGCTGAGGCAGAAGGATCACAAGTTCGAGGCCTGTCCAGGTAACTTTGCGGAAACCATCTCAAAATGAGAAATAAAATAGGGTTGGGGATGGGGCTCAGTGGTAGAGCGCCCCTGGCTTCAATACCTAGTACCTACCAATCAATCATTAAAAGGCACAAACTATTCCTAAGACCACAGCTGGCCATTCCAAGTTTCTCCCCCCCTCTGACCCCACACAAATGCGCTTTATTGTCTAGAATAATGCCATAACTATTCTTTCCCGACAGGTAATTACGTACTCCCCATCTCTAACACACACACTTATCAACCTGCAAGGAACATCCCAACATTTATTTTTAAAATAAGCTAACTTATAAGGGGAACTCCATTACACTTTCAGAAACACAAGCAAACTCTTCCGGAGCACTTTCCATCCTCGCGTACACACACAAACACAGCCGCTATACACCAACAGACCATCTGTCTTCTGAACCAAAAACATCTCTTTCCATGTACAAACTAACCAGTGACATTTACTAAACTTCTAACAGTGGGACCGTTCTGTCGTTCCAACATACAGCTCGGCGTGTCAGGGACACCCCAGACCTTGCCATACAGGTAAACTGCCTCTGAAGATCATGTCCCTTAAACAAGCACAAACGGGACTTCGGGAGATGCTCCAACCGGGCTTATCCACACAAACCTGTCAGGGGCACGGGCGGCTCCGCCTCCACTGGCTTACTTTCCCGCCCCCTCCCTCAAGTCGGGAGCCCGCCTGTCAGGGACACCCCTTCACCCCCGCCTGGAGGGACTTCCCGGTAGGCTCAGGATCCCCTGCCCTCCTCTCCCCTCCCCCATCCCTACTACCGCTCTCCTGGAGATCCAGGTCCGGGAGATGACAGTAGATCCCAGGAAACCCAGGACGGAGCCGCCGAGAGAGTGCTTAGGCCCAGAGGCCTGCCCAAACCGTTCTACTCACCGTGTCAGAGGCCGAGGCCGAGAACGATGAGAGTGCAGGGAAGTGGGGAAGAGGGGGTGGCCGCCAGGCGCCTCCGCTTCCCTTAGTCCACAGCGGATCTCTCCTGCTTGTCAGGAGGCGGTCAGAGGGTAAGCGGAGTGGCGGAAATGCGAAAGAGGAGAAGGAAAAGGCGTAGGGCGAAAGGAGGAAAACTGAGGGGAGGCGGGTCCCGCAACTAGAAGGGGATCGTCTCCCCCTCCGCAAAGCGAACCCAAAATGGCGGCGGGAGCGGCGGCAGCGGCAGAGCGGCGGCGGCGGCAGCTCCTCAGGAGGGAGCAGGCGAAGGGCGCCTCGTGCCCCCCCCGCCTCCCACTCCTCCTTCCTCGCGCTCTCCCCACCGCTCCCCCCAACCTGACTCCGGCCGCCGAGCGCGCACGCCCGTCGGCACGCGTATGAGTGTATCTGGTCTCGTCGTTCGCTGCTCCCACCAACCACCACCTCGGCCGCCCCGCACGCCTGCCAGCCCTTACGCGCTCGCTCAGGGGCGCCTTCTCGCGCGGTCCCCCACAACCCCTGGCCCCTGTCAAGCCGGCTGTGGCGCAGGCCCTCACGCGTACCTTCGGCGGCGCGAGCCCAGGCCTCCTCCTCCTCCACCTCCTCTTCTTTCCTCCCCCCCTTCCCCGCCCCCACGGCCACCAACCGCCGCCACGGCCGCCGCCGCCGCCGCCGCCTCCGGCCCCCCCCACCCTCCACCCCTCGCGCGTGCGCCTCCCACAATCCCCCCCGCGGGACTGTTCCATTCTTAACTGCAAGGACGGGGGAGAAAAGGACAGGGAAAGGCAAGTAGAGGTTGCTCTTAAGACAAGATTATCCGAGAGGATGGCAATGACCTACGAAACTACCCACTTCCCTGGGCTCCTCGCTGCGGCGCCGAGGCTTGCTGATCACTTACTTCTGCTGGCCACGGTGAGCGGGTCGGAGGCGGCCTAGCGCCCCTCTGCTGACCAGTGGTTGGAGGCCGCGACGGCTGCGCATTGAGTAGCTTCCTGCCATACGACCTGAGGTTTCTTTGCAGTTGCGGGACGAGCGCTTCGGTTGCTGGTAGTGAGTAACAGTCACCGCGTGAGGGGAACTGATCTTCGATTCACGGTGAGGCAATGCACCCGCGCAAGGGGTTTAGGCAAATTCCAAACCTCCATGAGGTAGGGAGTGAGACCAGTAGGGCCGGCGCCCTTCCTGGAAGGGGCTTCCTCTCCAGCTCTGTGTTGCCTACCTGGAGTTCGAGAGGATCTGGCGCGAGGGTCTGTTTGTTGTTGATGTTCTTAACCCAGTTTAGATTTCTCGAATTTCACGTAACTACATATACGCTACGTTATTGTGCCTTATACGTCCTCCTCAGAAATTGTGCATCTTCAGATCCGTTCGATAGCCTGATTAAAGGATAAAGCTGCTGTTTCTGGGGGCTGAGGTTGTGGCTCAGTGGTAGTGCGCTTGCCTAGCACGCATGAGGCAGGGTTCAATTATCAGCACCACATACAAATAAAATAAAGGTCCATCAATAACTAAAAAATATTAAAAAAGAAAGAAGAAGCTGTTTCTGATTCAGTTCTGGACATGAGCTTCCATGTTTTGTGTGGCCCCCAGGAAGTTATTATTTTTGTTATCGAAAACTGAACGTAAAATTAGCTTAACTCCAAATGTACCTTCAGGGTTGGTCTATAAAATAGTGAGCTAATATATGTAAAATACAATTAGCTCCTAGGCACCGGGGAAGTGCAGAGTATTATTATGTTATCTTTTATAGGGCTGTTGATAAAGTTTGTGAGAGCAATTGGTAGTTTGTGTTATATCCTTCCAAATAGTTAATAAAATAATGTAAAACAAGCCTGTAGGATTCTATGGCTACCGATTACTTGTTTATCAAAATTGCACTGACATTTTAATGATTGAATTCAGGAGACTGATTTGACTAAAAATCTATATGTAATTCCAAAGTTTAGTATTTTTTGGTTTTACTCAAAGCAAAATAAATTAGGGGGTTTCCTTCCTTTTACATTTGTGGAGAGATCCAGGGAATAATTTGAAAATCCCTGCTAGATTGATCTCAAAGGCCCATTCAAGCTCTAAAATTCAAATAGCCTTAAATTTTCTCCCTTAACAATATATGGGTAAGATTTTGTTTGCTTATTTTGTTCTTTTTAAAATTAAGGAGAAAGCAGCCTTAATTACTTAATTATATATTTTTCCTAGACAAATCCCAGCTGATTCATGGAGCCCACCTAGGCTTAACTCATCTTTCTTTATTTCATGTATTCAAATGTATTGTGCTACTGACAACTTTAGTTGAAAGCAAAGACTGTGTCTTACATTTCTTTGCATACTGTTTATACTCTGTTGCAAAACAAGTCATGGAAATATTAAAATGAAAGTTAAAAATTAAAATACCAGGGGCTGGGGTTGTGGCTCAGTAGTAGAGTGCTAGCCTTGCACATGTGAGACCCTGGGTTCGATCCTCAGCACCACATAAAAATAAATAAACAAAATAAAGATATTGTGCCCATGTATAACTAAGAAAATTTTTTTTTTAATTTTTTTTTTTTTTAAGAGAGAGGGGGAGAGAGAGAGAGAGAGAATTTTTTTAATATTTATTTTTCTTCAGTTCTCGGCGGACACAACATCTTTGTTTGTATGTGGTGCTGAGGATCAAACCCGGGCCGCACTCATGCCAGGCGAGCATGCTACCACTTGAGCCACATCCCCAGACCAATATTTTTTTTTTAATTAAAATACCAGAAGAGAATGAGAGAGCTAATGTTGTTGGAATGTCATGCCAAGAGAACATATTTCCTGTTTAATCCTTATAATAAACAACCTTTGAGATAGATAATCCTGTCCTCAGCGATGAGAAGCCTGAGGCTCACAGAAATCAAGTAATTTGGTCTTTAGGCCTGTCTCTTAAAAACCTGACTTTTTCACCATACCTCATTGCCTTCATGCAAAATTTCTTGTCAACAGCATAATTGCACTTGCTACAGAGAAAATAATAATAATAATAATAATGGTATCACCTGTATATTAAAAAAAAAAAAAAAAAAGCTATAGTCTCTGGATCAGTAGCTTTCAGTTATTATACTGATTCATGAATTGTCAGCTAAGTATGACTACAGATCTCAGAGTCTTTCAGAGACTAAAATACATCTTAAATGCACAATAAAATGGCCTCACAGAATGAATTAACCTTGGATTATTTGAACCTACAAAGATAGAGAAACAGATAATAGTTTCCTCAGATGTGTCCACATACAAATCCCTGGAACCTGTGATATAAATCTAGTTCCCTAGAACTAGATTACATGACAAGAGGGAAATCAGGATACAGATGGAATTAAGGTTGCTAATTAGATGATCTTAAATTAAGGAGATTATCCTGGATTACCCAGCTAGGTCTGCTGTAATTACAAATCCATAAAAGCTAGAAGAGGGAGACAGAAGAGCCCTTGGCAGAATGATATAATGTGAGAGAAACTCCGAACCAGCCATTGCAGATTTTGAGAATAAAAGGGAGCCAGGAGCCAAGCAGCCTCCAGAAGCTAGAAAAGGCAAGAAAAAAAGACTCTTGTCTATACTCTCTGGGAAAGAATGCAACCCTAATACACTTTCATTTTGAATTTCTGAACAACAGAACTATAGTAAAGTAAATTTTGTTGTTTTACACCACTAACTTTGTAGTAATTTGTTATAGGAACAATGGGAAACTAATAAGTTATGGTAGCCAAATCATGGATAACCTCTAAAATAGTCTGCCTTGGATTGTGGATTTTTTATTTAAAATGAAGTTTAACTGAAATTTCTTCAAAGTGATGGACAGCATAGCTACCTAGGTTTCCAATATTTCCTTACTGACATCAGTCCTCAAGCTGTAAATAGGCAACTGGGCTTTGTTTTCTTTGGCCTTGAACATAGTAAGCAAGCTTGGCCACTGGGCTAAGTCCCCAGATCCACAACAGAGCTTTTATACTGCTGTACTGCAGTGGTGTTAGCTTAGACTTGCCCATTAGGATAGAAGTAATTAAATATTTATTTTATGGTGCTTCCTTGCTAAGTCTAAATGCAATATAGATAAACAGGAAAACTTTTTTTTTTTTTAGTTGTAGATAGATACAGAGCTTTATTTTATTTACTTATTTTTATGTGGTACTAAGGATCAAACCCAGTACTTCACACATGCTAGGCAAGCGCTCTACTGTTGAGCCACAACGCCAGCCCCAGGAAACCTTCTTTGATATTAACTTTGTAAGTAACATTTCAAATGTTAAAAGAATAGAATTGACTATATAGGGTTGAGTATATAATGATAAATTGTGAGTAAATACTTTATAGGCATAAGAGTATATAAATAACTTTATATTTAACAAAGGAAGAACTTTGAAGTTTTTGTTTGGATACCAAGACTTTACTCATCACTTAGATGACTGCCTACAAAGCAGAAATATTGCCCCAGACTGCCTAGATTCAAGGCTTAACATTTTACTGGGTAGCTATGTAAATTTTAAAGACTTAGTAGTAATTGTAAACTATAATTTATAAGTCACTAAACCTTTAAAAGAATCCTATATTTAGAAACTAACGTAATCTTCATTTTATAAATGGAGAAGCAGACATACAAAAGTTTAAAAAACTTGGTCAAGGTTATACAGCTGTTAAATGGGAAAGCCAGGTTTCAAATCCCAACAGTAATCATTCTGCTACAATTGCCCCACATCTCCTCATCTGTAAATTGGAGATAATAACAGCACCTACACTGTGGGATTGTTGTAAAGATAAATTAATTAACTCATATTAAACACATAGAACAGTGACTGGCACATAAAAGATGTTCAGTGTTAACTGTTGCTATCATAGTTACTTAATGTTTTTGGATTCCTTGGAATTTTTTTCCCATATGCTTTAAACTAGAAGAAAGAAGTCAAAGGAGATATTCCCTATTCCTGCATTTACTGTTTTTTTGTTGTTGTTGTTGTTGTTTGCTTGGTTTTTGTTTTTGGTTTGTTTTTTTGTTTTTTTGGGGGGGGGGTTTGGTACTGGAGATTGAACCCAGAGGCGCTTAACCACTGAACCACATCCCCAGCCTGTTTTTATATTTTATTTA